CTCTCTTCTGAGGAAATCCTTTTTTTAAAAAAAAACAGTTGACCAATTATTTTTTTCTTCTATCAAAAACAGGTATTTTTCTCACGTAATTTATTCTGATAATTTCCTCTCCCTCTACTCTTTCTCCATTTCCTCACCTTTCCTCCTTTTCAGATCCACGCCCTTCCTCATCATCCTCCATCCATTTATACACATATATGCAGATATGATTTGCCACTCTTGTCTGAATATTATAGGTCTTTATATTATTTTAAGAGATTGTTCCATTTCTTTGATTGTTTAAGTTCAAGGATTTGAACCCAGGGCCTGATGTATAGGTAGAAAAGTATTCTGTACCTAAGCCACATTCTATTACCATTATTATTATTATTATTTAATTAGGGACAGGTCTTATTGAGCTACTCAGACCAGTCGTGAATTTATTATATAACCCAGGCAAACCTTCAACTCACAGTCAAGAAGGTATCTTTTACTGACTTTCATTTCTCCACAGTGTTGTTATTTGTTGAGTAGAGTTGAAGTGTTTGAAAACCATGACAAATCTATCCACTGCACAAGCAGAAGCCAGAAAACAACTTAGATTTCTGTTTTACACATCTCACCTTATTTGAGACAGGGTTTCTTGTTCACTGCTGCGCATGCTAGTTTAGCTGGCCTGCAAGCTTCCAGGAAGTCTCCTGTCTCAGTTTCTCAGCCTCACATAGAAAGGCTGTTATTACCAGCTGCCGTGCTTGTTTTTATGTGCAGTCTAGGGAATCTAAAATCAGATCCTCATGGTTCCATATCAAGCACTTTACCCAGTGAGCTTGTCTCCCCAGCCCTGTAATCATTGTTCTTTATATGCTTGCTGTTATTATTTGTTTAAGGCCAGCCTTAGGTTATAAAATCCCACTCATGCCCATTTTACTGTTGACTTGGTTCTCCTAATGCAGTCAAGGTCAACATTTTCTTCCCTTTCCTCTGTTTCCATTGTTTTATCAATTACTTGCTAATCATCTGCCATTGGGTTGATCGAAAGGAGCATGATAAAGGGATGTCTACGGAAAAAAAAACCTGAAATTAAACAAGCTATTATATCTCACTTGTTTTCAAAGGAGAAAACAGAGTGAAAGAGAACTTGATGACACACACACATGCAATGATACATCAGGCTTTCTAAGGAGCAGGCAAGCAAGGGGTTGAAAACAAAGGTGTGGAATGACTAGACAGGAAGGAGAAATTAGACAATAGATGTTGTTGGGAACATTGCATCAAGTATTAAAAATGTTACCCCAGAGAGAGCAGCAGTCCAGTTGCACAAGCGCC